AGAAAGAGAGAAGAAGCAGAAGAGAGAAGAGAAGAGCAGAAAAGAAGATTTCCTTGGACGGGAACCCCTGCACTTTTCGTAAGGCTTCCTCTCCCGGTTGCTAAGAGACGCACAGATTCTCTGGTCGGGGCACACTGACGGACGGGGTGCGCGCTGGGTCTTGTTGTTGTCATGCTCCCGGCTGCCAGGTGGCGTGACAGGGCGTGTCTTTTTGCGTGTTGTTGTTTTGTTGTTTGCTTTGTTGTCTCTCGATTTTTTTTCTCGCGATTTTTTCTTGTTTTTCGTGTTCTCTTTTTCGCTTAGTTCCTTTTTCTCTCTCTTCTCTCTTCTCTTCTTCTCTCCCCTCCTCTCTCTTTCTCTTTCTCTTCTCTTCTCTCTCCTCTGTCCCCTCTCTTCTTTACCTCTTTTCTCTCTCTCTCTCTCTCTCTCTCTATCTCCTCTCTCTCTCTCTCCTCTCTCTCTCTCTCTCTTCTCTCTCTCTCTCTCTCTCTATCTTTTCTCTCTCTCTTCTCTCTCTCTTCTCTCTCTCTCTCTCTCTCTCTCTCTCTCTCTCCTCCTCTCTTTCTCTCTCATGTATCTCTCTCTCTCTCTCTCTCTGTTATCTTCTATCTCTCTCTCTCTCATTTCTCTTATCTCTCTCTCTCTCTTATCTCTCTCCTTCTTCTCTCTCTCTCTCTCTTCTCCTCTCTCTCTCATTGTATCCTCTCTCTCTTCTCTCTCAACCTCTCTCTCTTCTCTTCTCTCTCTCTCTTCTCTCTCTCTCTCTCTCTCCTCTCTCTCTCTCTCTCCTCTCTCTCTCTCTCTCTCCTCTCTCTCTTTCTTCTCCTCTCCTCTCTCTCTCTCTCTTCTCTCTCTCTTCTCTCCTCTCTCTCCTCTCTCTCTTCTCTCTCTCTCTCTCTCTCTCTACTCTCTCTCTCTCTCTCTCTCTCTCCTCTCTCTCTCTCTTTCTCCTCTCTCTTCTCTCTTCTCTCTCTCTCTCTCTCTTTCTCCTCTCTCTCTCTCTTTCTCCTCTCTCTCTCTCTTTCTCCTCTCTCTCTCTCTCTCTCCTCTCTCTCTCTCTCTTTCTCTCCTCTCTCTCTCTCTCTTCTCCTCTCTCTCTCTCTCTCTCTCTCTCTCTTCTCTCTCTTCTCTCCTCTCTCTCTTCTCCTTCTCTCTCTCTTCTCTCCTCTCTCTCTCTCTCTTCTCTCCTCTCTCTCTCTCTTTTCCCTCTCTCTCTTTCTCTCTCTCTCTCTCTCTCTCTCTCTCTCTCCTCTCCTCTCTCTCTTTCTCCTCTCTCTCTCTCTCTCCTCTCTCTCTCTCTTTTCTCTCTCTTCTCTTTCTCTCCTCTTCTCTCTCTCTCTCTCTCTCTCTCTCTCTCTCTCTCTCTCTCTCTCTCCCCCCCCCCCACCGCAGTCGTTTGAAAGCACGTGATCGTCTTGAGTATCTCGGTATCTTACACGCGCTCAGGTGCGACGTGCGTGAGGCCGTGCGCGCGAGCGGGTGTCCCAGGGTGGGCCGGTCAGTACCCTGTGGGTGGTGGGGGAGGGGTGGGGGTTGTGGGAGTACCTGTGGGTGCATAAGCGTGGGCTGGTCAGTATCCTTGGGGATAGGGCCTGAAGGAGGTGGTTGGGAGGGGTGGGGGATGTAGGGGTTGTGGGAGAGAGGGGGTGTCCCAGTGTGGCCAGGTTATCTTTCTCTCCTTACTACTTCTTCTTCTATCTGTGCCCTCTTCTGTTCGTTGTTGTTGTTCTTCTTCTCCTCGCTATCCTCTTGTTCTCCTTCAGTATCAGGGGGAGGGGTGGAGATGAGGGGGAGGAGGGCAGAGAGGATAGCTGGAGGGTAGGCGTTATTGGGGTTATTGTGTTGGCCTTGTTTTCCTTTGTTGTACATGCTGTTGTTGTTATTGTTACTTAGGGTTCTTGTATTTATGATCGCCAGTGTACCCATTTCTTGTATAATTTTGTAATATTATTTAAATTATGGTAATGATGATCATCGTTTTTTTTGCTTATACTACGTGATATGATGATAATGATAATGATGATATATTCATGTTTATGTTGACGTTTCTCTTCCTATGATTAATATAATTATGAAAAGGAATGAAAAGAAGAGAAGAGACACGATCTTATTACTCACAAAAAATTAACAGATCGTCAATTTAAAATACAAGACAAGCTCGTTAACTCGTTTTCAGTGATAGCCGAAGCGTATAACAGTGGCGCTTCTTAGTGGAGAACGAGCGGAATAAATCATTAGAATAGCGATTGGTCCAACGTGAAACGAGGGGGAATCCGCACGTAATGGATGCTAAAGAGAATATCGTTAACTGTGCACAAAATGAGGCTGATTTATTTTATTTATTTGTTTTTATTTTATTGTTATTATTTTTTTTTATTTATTTATTTATTTTTTTTTTTTTTTTGTCTTTATTTTTCTTTTCTTCCTCTTCGTCCTCTCTGTGTCTTCATTTTGTTGTTGTTCTTCCCCTTCTCATCCTCCTCTTTCTTCTTTTGCTTCTTCTTCAGTAGCATATTCTTTAATCTTCTTATTCCTCATTTCTCATAATCCTTTCAAGCAAGAGGGAGGAAAGGGAATCAAAATCTGATAGAAAACAAAAAAATAAATAAATAGATAAATAAATAAATAAATAAATAAACGCGAAAAGAGCAGGAGCAATAAACGCACGAGCGACAACGGAGACCGGCCGCTCGTGCGATTGTGTTCGGGACCGATATTCGAGACAGTCCCGCGAGCTCAGGTTCTGGCGAAGGAACACGCGGGGCGGGGGCGGGCGGGGCGGGGGCGGGGGAGTGGTGGATGCTGGCGAAGGAACACGCGGGCGGGGGGGGAGATGCTGTGGATGCTGGCGAAGGAACACGCGGGCGGGGCGGCGGGGGATGGATGCTGGCGAAGGAACACGCGGGCGGGGGCGGGGTGGATGCTGGCGAAGGAACACGCGGCGGGGGCGGGGGGGTGGATGCTGGCGAAGGAACACGCGGGCGGGGGGGTGGATGCTGGCGAAGGAACACGCGGCGGGGGCGGGCGGGGGCGGGCGGGCGGGGGTGGTGGTGGATGCTGGCGAAGGAACACGCGGGCGGGGGGCGGGCGGAAAGGTGGATGCTGGCGAAGGAACACGCGGGCGGGGGCGGGGGGGGCTGGCGAAGGAACACGCGGGCGGGGGCGGCGGCGGGGGGGTGGATGCTGGCGAAGGAACACGCGGGGGGGCGGGCGGGGGCGGGCGGGGTGGTGGATGCTGGCGAAGGAACACGCGGGCGGGGCGGGCGGGGGGGGGTGGATGCTGGCGAAGGAACACGCAGGCGGCGGGGGGTGGTGCTGGCGAAGGAACACGCGGGCGGGGCGGGCGGGGCGGGGGTGGATGCTGGCGAAGGAACACGCGGGCGGGGGGCCGGGGCGGGGCGGGCGGGGCTGGCTAAGAACACGCGGGCGGGGGTGAATGGATGCTGGCGAAGGAACGCGCCGGGGGGGGGGGGGATGGTGGTATTGTTGTTGTGACTCATAATACTCATACATTTGGCTGTGATTTTTGTTGATTTGGTCGGGGTGGTTGTCTCCTTGTTTCGTTTTTTTTTTTTTTTTTTTTTTTTTTTTTTTTTTTTTTTTAAGGCAATTGATATGAGAAGGTTTGTATATTTATGTCCATTATTATTTTTTTCTTGTTTTTTTTCTTGATTTTTTTTTTTTATTTTTATCCTCGCTTGGGTTTCTATGACGACCATCAGTTATATTCCGATGATTTTAATTGTTTTAGGTAATTTTTTAAACATTTTTTTTCCCCCAATGGCTGGGGTGTGGCGAGCGGCGTCGGCGAGGAGAGGCGACGAGGGGAGAGGAGAGTGAGGGGCAAGAGGCAGCGACGAGAGACAAGGAGTGAAGAATAAGCAGGAAGGGGGCGGGGGGGCGGGGGGGCGAGGGGAGGGAGACAAGAGACGTGGTGAGAGCGCGTGCCAGAGCGAGGGCCAAGGTGGATCAAGAGTGCCACCGTTGCAGGGCCAAGGGGTTGGGGCGGGGAAGGGGTGGAGCTAGGGGGTAGGCAGAGCCCTGGTTTAATCACTCGGCAGTATGGGCGCGTGTTGAGGGCGCGAGGGGGGGGGGGCGCGGGAAGTACCCGGGGGTTGCGGGCGCTGTCTCGGGTGGTATGACTTGCCAGGTTATATGAGGACATCTATCGTATCTGAGAGCAACATTGCATTGTATTTTGAAAGCAACTTTTATTGTATTTTGAAAGCAACATCTATCGTATTATGAGAGCAATATGTTATCATTTATTGTATTTATTGTATTTTGAAAGCAACAGCTGTCGTGCTCCGAGAACATCTATCGTATTATGAGAGCAACATCTGACGTACTGTGAGAACTTCTGTCGTATAGTGAGAACATCTGACTTATTATGAGAGCAACAGGTATCTGATACGTGCGCCGTTTTATTTCTCCCAAGAAACTACTTGCCGAGGCTCTCATGTGACCCAAGACATGATTGTGCGCGATCCTGCACTCACCATGAACCGTCGAAGAAATGGTATTAGAAGATCCGAGGAACACTTATATTGGGTATTTGTTCAGGGCATCGGTATTGCGAAGAGCACAGGTTGAACGAACCAATTTACACCGTCTTTTGGAGTATTTCTCTCTCTCTTTCTCTCTCTCCTCTCTCTCTCTCTTCTCTTCTCTCTCTCTCTCTCTCTCTCTCTCTCTCTCTCTCTCTCTCTCTCTCTCTCTCTCTCTCTCTCTCTCTCTCTCCTCTCTCTCTCTCTCTCTCCCACTCTCTCTCCCTCTCTCCCTCTCTCTCTCCCTCTCTCTCTCTAACTAGCTGCAACTATGAGCCGAATTCATGTTGACAAATGTAGGAAAGGTGTGAATGAGAATGAATATCTTCACGATGCAAGGGATGTACTTGTATTGTGAAGATATTCATTCCCATTCATACCTTTACTACAGCTGTTGACGCAGAGGTTCGGTGTGTAAAGTGAACTCTCCTGCATGGTGCCATACTGGGAACC